GGTACTATAGCAGTTATTAGACACAGGTACTATAGCAGTTATTAGACGTAGCTTGTAGGCTTGTGTTGGTGCCTGTGCCTTAGGGCAAAGGGGTTTTCTCTTGTTTGGAGTGGAGCAAGAATTTCTTGGAAATGGTAAGACTAAAACGTTTAACCACTTAAGATCCAACTTTTTAAAATGTCAAGTCATTGGATCTGGAGATGTGGCTCAGTGTTTGAGGGCACTGGCTGCTTCTCCAGAGGACTCGGGCTCAGTTCTCAGCACACAAAGGCAGCGCCCAGGAGTCTGTAACTCCGACTCAAAGGGATCTTATTCCCACTTCTGGCTTCCCTGGGCACTGCACACATGATATACATACATTCATGCAGGCAAAGCATATACATGTAAGAAAATTTTTAAATAAAACCAGGCACGGTAGCACATGTCTTTAATCCCAGCATTCAGGACACAGAGGCAAGTGGATCTCTAAATTCAAGGCCAGACTGGTTTATAAAGTAACAGCCAGAGCTACACAAAGAAACTTTGTCTCAAAAAAACAAATGAGTAAATCTCCAAAAAAAAAATCCTTAAGTCAAGTTAAATAACTGTCAAGTACAATTTATTTCTCATTGTTTTAAGATACTAGTAGCCAGGTGTGTTGACATCCCTGGACTCCTACCTATTCAGAAGGCTGCTGAGGATTGCTTGAGCTCAGGAGTTCAAAGCTAGGCTGGACAGCAGCAGGGAAAGCTGTCTTACCGTTATATATCTATATATGGGTTCTGATGAAAGCCTTGGCGGTTGAAACATTACATTTCTATTACTTTTATAATTATACTTATTTAAATGTTGTTACTATAATTTATATTGTTTCTAAATTTTTGTAATTGGTTAGTTTGAGGCAGGGTCTCTGCTGACATAGAACTTGCTCTGTAGACAAGGCTGGCCTCTGTCTCCCTGGTGCTATGATTAAAGGCCCTACTTCCTGAGTTCGTAACCCTTGTAAATTTCATGAGTTTCCTGAGCCTTGTAAGTTTTAGCTTCTAGAGTCTTAAGAGCCTCCCTGCAGAATGAAAGGTTTAACTTTGGAGGCTATGGCTACACAACAACCCATAATCTCCTAACCCAACCTTTGGGGTAGCCAGGATTAATTACAGGCACACAGCACTGTACTTGGTTAGTCTAATCATTCATCACTGGACATTTGGGTTGTTTCTATCAGAGTCTGACTATGTAGTGCTGGCTGTTTAGAATGCACTATGTAGATTAGCCCCAAACTCAGAGATCTGCCTGCCTCTGTTTCCCCAGTTCTGAGATTAAAGGCATGTGTCCCTCTCGGCCTTTCTTTTACTCTTATAAACAGTAATATATGAATTTTTTAGACATTTTTATGTTTTGAAATCTGAATTAGGACAGCTGGAGTGACATGTTAACAGTTCTGCATTCCCAGGCCCCACTTCCAGCATCCCCTTCTGTTCCACAGATCTTCAAGTCCCTGCCTGTTGGCTATAACATCTCTAAGCAAGTCCTCGATCAATACCTTACGCTGTTGGCAGATGACCCAGTAAGTCTTCCCCACCCACTTGGTCTGTTTATAATTTATCTCTGCCACTGAATCCTAATATTTCACTAGAGTCCTTTTGTCTGCTTAGCTGTCCCAGACAAAGTCGTCATTGTCTGGCAGGAGCTGTTTGCTTCAGAGTTGGTCTATAGGAAAGAATTAATCACTAGACTTTACATTCAATTAACACCATTCGCTCTCTTTTAACAGCTAGAGTTTATTGGAAAGTCTGGCGACAGCGGTGGAGGAATGTATGTCATCAGTATCCTTCCCAGCTGCCTGTTCTGTCAGGACCCCTGAGTTAGGAAACAGGGGTAACCTAGGAAAAATTGGTGGGGGTGTTCTTGGTTTTGTTGTTGTTGTTATTGAAACAGTCTCATGTTGCCTAGGCTGGTCTCGAACCCACTGCGTAGCTTAAATGTTAGCGCTGAAGCCCTGATCCTCTTGCCTCACTTCCCAAGTGCTGGAAGCAGAGGCGTGTGCCACCACAGGAAAGGAATTCGTCAATCCTAATATACTAAACAAGTTCAAAAATTGAAATAACTTTCTTAATTTTTCTGTGAATTTTCAGTGAGTTTTATTAATTAAAATATAAAAGCCTGGGACTGTCTGTAGTGATATTCATTTGTATTTTAATAAATAAAACTTGACTGAAGATCAGAATGCAAAACAGCTACACTAGTCAGCCATCCAGGCCCAGTGGTGGTGGTGCACACCTTTAATCCCAGCGCTAGAGAGGAATAGAAGGTGGGCTAAGACAGGAACTCGCTCTTCTTTCAATCTGAAAATTTCATAGAGGCAAGAGCTCTCTAGTGGCTGACTGCTTTGCTTTTCTGACCTTCAAGTTGAACCCCAGTATCTGTCTCTGGGTTTTTATTACTTGTGCTACAACTGTCGTTGCTTATAGCACCTCACACACATTGTGCAAAGCGCTGGACCAGATCACCAGCTCTGCAAGAGAGGAAGAAGGAAGTTGGTAGAGCTGAGGCAGAGAGCTAGGAAAGGGGAGAGTTGTGCTAACTGCTTACAGTTGGAGCAGTTTGGAGCAGAGGCAGAAAAGTCAAATGTTTCAAGTCAATCTGGGCTACATAGCAAGACCCTGTCTCACAAGAAGAAGAGAGGGGCTGGAGAGATGACTCAGTAGTTAAGAGCACTGATTGCTCTTCCAGGGGACCCAGGTTCAATCCCCAACACTCACATGGCAGCTAACAGCTGTCTGTAACTCCAAAATCTAATACCCTCAGACATACAGGCAAAACACTTATGCACATAAAGTAAAAATAAAAAATAAGTTTACTTAAGCAAAATCCTTCCAAATGTTAATATACTTATATATCATACATGAAATGTAAAAGGCAAAGTATTATTTAATTTTTAGTTATAAATTAGGAGTTTAGTCATGAAGCTAAGTTCATGATGATGAGGCCAAAACATTACTGAATGCCCTTAATCCTCTACATAAAGACCTCCATAAGGCATTAGCATCCCTGGCCACTGCGACTCTGGAGTCTGTCATCCAGGAGAGGTAAGAGGGCCACTGATTGGGGTTGGGCTCAGACACTTCCTCTCCACACCCCATTGGACAGGTAATTTGGTTTTGATGGCATACCCTGCCACACTTGGTCTCTTCTTTCCAGTAGAACTATTCTTCACTATAAAACTAATTCCTAGCTAGGCAAATTAACCAGCACCCAAAACTCTGTAATACAAGATCTGTGACATACAAAGTAGTTGGCATTTGGTGACAAGTTATGATTAACAGTACTATTACCAACTTCTGGAGCTGTAAAAGAACTCTGAGCACTGTTCCTCTCTACTCCTGACCCCACATGTGGATTAGTAAGTCCGTACTCTGAGACCAGGAGCTAAAGTATACCCTGTGGTTCTCTGTTCTTCCAGATTTGGGTCTCGCTGTGCCAGAATATTTCGTCTGGTATTGCAGAAGAAATACCTGGAGCAGAAGCAGGTGGAGGACTTTGCAATGATTCCTGCAAAGGAGGCAAAGGATATGTTGTATAAGATGCTCTCAGAAAACTTCATATCTCTCCAGGTAGCCACGGCTTTAGTAGAGAACTCCCACTATCACTCTAGGTGGCCACGGCTTTAGTAGAGAACTCCCACTATCACTCTAGGTGGCCACGGCTTTAGTAGCTGCTGTTCAGCATGGCTGGCCATGGCAGGAGAAACTCCTGAGGAAATTACTCTGGGTCCCCAGGCGGATACTATAGCCACCTCTGAAACAGAAGAAAAGAAAAAGATTAACACAGGCGTGGCAAACCCATATAGGATCGTGTAGAGTTTAACTGACTTGATAAGAGACAGATGACACTCAAGAAATCAGCTCACAGCTCTAACTCCCCTGCCCTATCCAGCCCATTATTCCTGAGAGCTTTAAATCTGTAATGGAGTAAGTAACTCATTCAACATATCTTGATTCTTGTAGAACTATGTTGGGGACCCTTTGAGGAAGCAGGTTGAATGGATTTTGGAGTCACTTCAAGCAGGTCAACCGCCGTCATTTTGTATCTGTAAAATGGCAGTGGATGATGCTGTAAGGACAGTGGTTTGGACCGGCTGTGGTAGTGTGTACCTATAATCCCTGTACAGGGCTGGAGAGTTGGCTCAGTGGTTAATAGCATTGCCTGTTCTTTTCAAAAGTCCTGAGTTCAATTCCTGGCAACCACATGGTGGCTCACAACCATCTGTAATGACGTCTGGTGCCCTCTTCTGGCCTGCAGACATAAACACAGACAGAATATTGTATACATAATAAATAAATAAATAAATAAATATTTAAAAAATTAAAAATAAAAAGATGCCTATAATCCCAGTACAGTACAGAGGAGGCTGAGGCTGAAGGATTAAAAATTTGAGGCCAGCATATGCTTAACAGTATCATACTGTCTCAATTATTAATAAATAAAGTCTATTATGAAAATCAAATACAATCCACCTGGCCTGTGTAGAGTTTCCTCAGTAAATATTAATTGCTTTCTCTTTTATTCAGGATGCTGATAGAAAAATGGAAAGCTAGGTACCCTGCTTCATGTAGCTGATTATGTCATAAACAGAGTCACTACTGATTGGCCAGGAAAGCAAAGTATTAGAAATGAGGACTGACAGTGCCAGGTGGGTGGGGGTTTGCTTTACCAGTTCCAAAGAACAGTCTCTTTATCTCTGCGGACAAACAGGAAATTCCTAAAACCCCAGACCACGCGCCATCCAGGACCTTCTATTTGTACACCGTGAATGTGCTGTCGGCTGCCAGGATGCTGTTGCACAGGTGTTATAAGGTAACCCTGCGGGTTTTCTCCCATCCCTCGTAGATGGCCTCGCCCTTTTCCCTCACCACTCCACACCACTTAAACAGAACCATTGGCATTTCTTACCTGTCTTCTCTTTCCTCAGAGCATAGCCAACTTGATAGAAAGGCGGCAGTTTGAAACGAAGGAGAACAAGTGAGTGCGTCTCCATTGAATCTCCGCATTTCTCTTTTCCTCTCTCTCTGTCAGACATAGCTTGGTTTTTTTATTATTTTTCCACTGAACCAATAACTAAAACACTTATACATGGTGACAGTTCTCCTTTACCCGGTACCTCTGTGCCCCAGCACATTTTCACTTACATTCTTCAAGGTCCAAGCCTGAGGGAAACTTGCTCTAGAAATGGCAACAGTAGCCCAATACACAGTGAGTGGCATTGAGTCATAGGTTTGGGTTGGCATAGCCATGCCTTAGTTTACACTTGTTGACTATACCCCCAATTAAATACTTTCGCAAATTATGAGGCATGTGCTTGACCCCAGAGTTTAAGTGCAACTAAGAGGCAATAAATGTTTCAGGAACAAAGTTATGTTTGTGATTAAGTTATGGGCAGAGTCTGTAGCTGAAACATGGAAGGAAGGAACTGGCCTCTGAGATAGAGGGCAGGAGAATCTCAGAGATAAGGAAATACATCAAAGCTCTGTCTGTCTGATAGGCGGCTACTAGAAAAGTCTCAGAGGGTAGAAGCCATCATTGCATCAATGCAGGCCACGGGTGCAGAGGAGGTGCAGCTGCAGGAGATAGAGGAGATGATCACAGCCCCTGAGCGGCAGCAGCTGGAGACGCTGAAACGCAACGTTAACAAGTAAGTGGTGGGATCCAGACTCTGCTTGACGATGCCTTTCAAGCAAATACAATTCGCCGCCTAATCTCCTTCAGTTTAGTGAGCATACCTAAGTGTAGGGTCGCTTTCCTAGCCTAATTAAAAGAATTGAGCCTACCAGACTTGGTGGCACACGCCTTTAATCCCAACACTCCAGAGGCATAGATCTCTATGAGTTCGAGGCCAGCCTGATCCAGGACAGCCAGGGCTGTACTCTGTCATTCACCAAGTACTGAAAAATTTTACTTCAGCCTCAAGTCTGGCATTTCATCTTGGTTCTTCATTACCTCTTACCTAGAGCTTTGCAATAACTTTATCTTACAAACCATGTGTCACAATGCTCTTATGGCGTGTGTGTGTGTGTGGCTTTGTGTGTATTCTGGGACTCCAGCCTCAGTTCCTCCCTCACACTTGGATGGCAGGCAATTTACCCTCCAGTCCATCTCCCCAACCTTCAGGCTATTTATTGCCTTTAAAGTGGTTGACCGCATCCCTCTGCTAGTTGAAATGATTTGTTGGCTTCCTTGCTTGTGCACATGTTTGCCCATCCTTTGGTTTGGAAGGGTTATGTTTCCTGACTAAAGGTCTCATGTAGCCATACTAGCCTTGAACTGATTCTGCTGCTTCTACCACCTCCACCTCCAAAGTGCTGGGATTAACAAGTGTATGTCACCACACCTGGCTGAGATGATTTATTGATTTTTTTTTTTACAGTATAAAATCCAAATGCATTGCTGGGCCATGAGACCTTTCATAGTTTCATAGCAATATGCTTCCATCTTCATTTCCTTTTATTCATTAAGAGGGGTTGTATAAATTTATTAGTTCTAGTAATTTTTTTTTCTTTGTAACTTGCCTAATTGTCTTGACTATCACCTCCAGCAGAAGACTGGAAAGGACACTTTGGCATTGTTCCTGATCTAAGGAAGGAAACTTGAGTTCTTACCATTAAGTGTGGTGTTAGCTGTGGTTTTATCAGATTGGGGAAGTCCCTCACTCTTGTTGATTAACACTAACTCTTCACTTTCTCATGGTTTTAAAGCACACAGCTCTTAGAAGTGCTGTTCGTTCTCATGGTTGTAAGGAAAAGTAAGATGCTGCCTGTGGGGCTTCAGCAGCTGCACAGTGTCTGATGTGGGAGAAATATAGATGGAGGAAGGCTCTCCTGGTTCTCTTCTTTCCACACGCTCAGGAATGAGCAAGTAATTCTGCATGGCCGCACCCATGCCTCTAATCATGAATATACTAATGAGCATTAACCCCTGGCAAATGTCTCACTTTTTCACTCAGGTTGGATGCCAGTGAGATCCAGGTGGATGAAACCATCTTCTTGCTGGAGTCATACATCGAGAGCACCATGAAGAGACCGTGACCCAGAGGAAGCAGCGCTAGGATCAAACTCAGGGCCTTTCACATGCTAGTCAAGTGCTGTACCACTGAGCTACATCCCCAACCAGAAACCAACTTCCTTCTCAAAGATCTAGGAGACAGAACAACAAGAAGGTGCTTGGATGCATTCTTTCTTTAACCCTGATTGTCCTGGAACTTGCTCTGTAGACCAATCTGGCCTCAAACTCATTGGCAATCCGTCTTCCTCTGCCTCCTGAGTGCTGGAATTAAAAGAGTGTGCCATATCACCCAGCTAAGTTTCAGATTCTGAGCCCCCGTTTCTGTCTTTCCCTACTGTTCATGATACACCAAAAAGAGATTGACATATTTTGTAAAATTTGTTAATAGACTTATACCCATCACTATATTCTCTCACCAAATTCTTGCAATGGGAAGAACCTTAAATAAATTAGATTAATCATAAATTATATATGTCAGTTTTTATCAGGAAGTCATTGAGGGGCCAACAAGATGACTTACGGGGGTGACACACTTGCTGCTCAAGCATGAGGCCCTGACTCAGGAAGCTCAGTACCCATGTGAAATCTAGGTGTGATGCCTGTCACCCTAGACCTGGAGATGGACACATCTCTGGGATTCATTGGCTAGCGAGTCGAGACAAATTGATGAGCTTCGGGTTCAGTGAAAGACCCGGCTCAACAAATAAGGTGGAGGCCCAGCAAGATGGTGACTTGGTGGATAAGGGAGCTTGCCACCAAGGCTGATGACCTAGCTCCAGAACCATATGGTAGAAGAGAACAAACTCCCACAAACTGTCCTCTAACCTCTACTTGGACAGTGTGGCCACATACATACACACGTGCACACAAATGTAAAAATAAGATAGGAAGCAATCCAGGAAGGCACCCAATCATCAACTTCTGATCTGGACACACATGCACATACCTGTACAACACGTGCACACACCACACATACAAAAAAGTCCACCGAAGCCAGGCACGAAGGGACACACCTGTGATCCCACCAATAAGGAAGCTGAGATGGGGGATTTCTGCAAGTTCAAGGTCAGCCTGGCTCTTTTGATAAGTTTCAGGCTAGTGTGGACAATAGAGTGAGAGCCTGTCTTAAGAAAACAAAACAAAAATTAAGTCAATCAAGCTCATGTTGAAACATCCCTGAATTGTTACCTTTCTATTGTGATAAAACACAATGACCAAGGGTCTTGCAGAAGAAGACTCTTACCTGGGCTTTAAGTTCCAGAGGGTCAGAGTCCAAGATGGCAGAATGAAGGCATGGTGGCTGGAGCTGGAAGCCTGCCCCAGTGGGGTGGTTTGACAAAAAATGGGCCCCAAAGAGTGGCACTCTTAGGTGTGGCTTTGTTAAAGTTGATGTGGCCTTATTGGAGGAAGTGTGTCACTGTGGAGGTGGTCTTTGAGGTCTCATATATGCTCAAGTCATGCCCAATGTCTCAGACCACTTCCTGTTGTCTGTAGGATTAAGGTAGCAGCTCCTCTTTCAGCACCATGTCTGCCTGCACACTACCATGCTCCCTGTCATGATGATAATGGACTAAATCTCTGAACTGTAAGCTGCCACCTCTATTAAGTGTTTCTTTTATAAATAAGAGTTGCTGTGGTCATGGTGTCTCCTCACAGCAATAAAACCCTAACTGAGACACCCTATAACATCCTCCAAAAAGGCCACACTTTCTAAATTTCCCAAACAGTGCCACCAGTCAGGGACCAAGTATTCAAATCCCCAAAGGAAACTGGGACATATTCAAACCATCACAGTCCCTGAAATTTCTTCCCAAGTAGTTATTTCCATTTATAAAAGTCTACACCTATCTCACTGAGTTGTAACATTTAACACATGCACACAGTGTGCAGAATGTCAAAGGCTGCTGTGGGAAAATGAAAAGAAGTTTTTGGGGCTTTTTTGTTGTTGGTTTTGGTTTTGAGACAGGGTCTTGCTATATAGCTAGGCTGGCCTGGAACTCGCTGTGTAGACCAAGCTAACCTGAAACTTCCAGCAATCTTCCAGCTTCTGCTTTACAAATACTAGGATTAAAACATGCTCTGCATACTCTGCAAGGAAACCTGTTTACAGAACTGGCAGGTAAAATGATCCAAGCAGTTATACGGAATATATAAGCAAAAGACATATTTACCAGGTCTAGGCTCCTAGCACAGCTGAAATTATATGTGTGGAACACGTATAATAATATAATGTCTGGGACATGGTAAACACAAAAGTTACCCCTTTCCTCCTTTCTGTGGTCCACTCTAGATGGTGTCAGTATCTTGGGTACAGTTTGTCCCGGTAGCTTGCATTCACTTAATGCAGCTAAATGTTGCTTACAAGGCTTTTAGTTTCTTCTTAGTTATGTTGCAATTCTTTCAACATTTGTGTATCAATATAGATTCTTTTTAGCCAGGCAGTAGTAACGTGCGCCTTTTATCCCTTCACTTGGGAGGAAGAGGCAAGTGAATCTCTGAGTTTGAGACTACAAGAGTGAGTCCCAGGACAGCCAGAGCTACACCCTGTCTCAAATAAATAAGTAAGATGAGCCAGTTCCTCCCAGATCCTCCCCACTTCTCTACCAACCCAAATCCATACTCTTATTAGAAAACAGGCATATAAAAATAATAAAAATAAGATAAAATAAAAACAAACCAGAATAGGACAAGACAACAACAAAAAGTCAAAGAACAAAAGAAACACAGATGTTAAGACACACATAGAAAACCCATAAAAACAAAATGGAAATCATAATATATAAACAAGAAATCTGTAAGGGAAAAAAGTTGCAGACAAAACATTATGAAACAAAAAAAAAAAAAGAAGAAAAGAAAAAGAAAAAAAGCCTCCAAAAATACCATTAAGTTTGATTTGTTTTGGTCATCTACTGGGCCTGCCCTTAAGTGTGGTTTGTCTACCCAGTGAGAGTCTGTTGGAGAAAGCTAATTTTTCCTTTACAAGAAGTTATCCCTTGTAATTGCTTCTGGGTTAGGGGTGCAGTATGTGTCTACTTCCCCTCTCAGTGCCGGGACCCCATTTGGGTTCGATTTGGACCACTCAGATGCATGAAGCATGACCTCTGCGTTCACGTATGTACCATTTCTGTTGTGCCCAGGCCTTGTTTCCTTGGTGTCCTCACCCACCCTGGCTCTTGTGACCTTTTCTTGTCTTCCACAGAGTTCTCTGAGTCACGAGGAGAGGGTCTGATGAAGACATCCCGTGTAGAACCAGATGCTCTAAGACCTGTCACTCTCCACACATTGCCCATTTGTGGGTCTCTGTCTTTGTTCCCATCTCCTGCAGGAGGAGCTTCCGTGATGATGGCTGAGCAAGGCACGAGCCCAAGCGTGTGGCAGTATGTCATTAGGAGTCATTCTACCACCACCTTCCTTTAGCAGACAGTAGCGTTTGGTTTTCCCCTAGGTCCATGGCCTATCTAGTCTCAGGTTCTTGGCTATCCCAGGAAGTGTCAGGCATGGGTTCCATCTCATGGAGTAGGCTTGATTCCAATCAGACAGTGACAACCTGAGGTTATTCCGTGGACTCACATGAAGGAAAGAGAGAACCGGCTTCTCTGACCTCCACTAGCCTGCCATGGCAGGTGCATGCCCACCCTACCCCCATATTGACAGAAATAAATATGACTATATATGGTAAAAGATCGTCTCTGCCTTCAAGCCAGTCACCATCACTTATTAAGCATGGTAATGCCCGAAGCCCTGCGTTTGATCCTCGGAACTGCACAAACAGCAAAACGTGGAGGCCAGCGAGTCAGAAGGTCAACATCTGTTTTGGCTACACAAGTTTGAGGCTAGCTTGGGTTATATGAGAACTTGCTTTGCATTTTTAAGGATTTTTATGAAATTGTTAGGGGTCTCATGTGGAGGGGGTTAAGTGAAGTTCAGCCTACGGCTGGAGGGGATTAACACGGCTATCCAGAAATCATTCAACCTGGGGATTATTGTACCAAATAGGGAAGTCAGAAAGAACTCAAGAGGAAATGAGAATATGTAGCGGGTTTCTTTATGTTTTGTGAGCATTACACGCAGGGATTGCCCCCAAAAGTTGTGCCTAAATTTCCCAGCCCATCTGGAAAATCTGGTTTGCAGGGCAGGCACACCGGAAGCTGCACGACTCACGGCGCTGGGCCACTAGGGGGCGCCAGGCAAGCGGCGACCTTAACAGCGGGATGGCTGCGGCACGGTTACTGCTGCGCCTGGCCGGACGCCTAGAGTCAGTGAACTTCACGCAGAGTGTGTGTGGCCTTCTGGGGGCCGGGCGGGGACCCGGGCCATGGCACACGCACTGCAGCTTGGAGCGAGGACAGCTTGTCCTTTCCAGCCATTCATTCCCCGGCGCCTCGGAGAGACTTCCAATCCAGGTCTGGTCAGGGAGTCGGCAGGGAAAGTGAGGGCGGATTGAGGACAGGGCGGGTGGCAACAGGCCAGCTCCCACCGCCGGCACCTCTAATTTCTGAAAGTCCCACCCTACTTTTCCAAGCCTTAGCCCGATCAACTCCTTCTTGTCAGAGACCCCCTTTCTGCCCTTTTGTGGCTCTGGACCAGAAGCCTGGGGGCTCCAGGACCGAGCTGCCCCCAGATAGAGGTGTGGATGTGGGTGTGGCCGTTATTCTTCAGTCCAGTGATCAGACTGTCTTGTTGACCCGAAGGACATGCACTCTCCGCATTTCCCCCAACGTCTGGGTCCCTCCAGGTGAGCACCTAGGAACAGACGCTGTGGGAGACAGTGTCCTTTCCCTCCACATTGCTACTGGGTGTCAGTCCTGTACAGTGGATGCCCAAGGTCTGTGTCCACAGCTACAAACTTCCTCTGCCCACTGGAAGATGGGCTCCCTGGTCGAGACAACCACCGTTCACTATCGGGTCTGTTCTTCTTGCAGGTGGCCACATGGAAGTTGATGAGGAGGTACCAAGTCTGCCGACTCAACCAAGAGATCTATGAGTGGGGTCACCTTGGGTGTAGGCTGAGGGACAAAGGGGGTTACACTTTGGACATCCTGACCTGCTCCCTTTGACTCCCAGGTCCTGGAGTGTGGCCTTCGAGAGCTGCAGGAAGAGTGTGGGCTTCAGCTGCCTCTGGCCCAGGTCTCTTGTGTCCTTCTGGGGTTGTGGGAGGTGAGACAGACTTTCAACGACCCCTAAAGCCCATGGAACAACCCTTATCTGCCTTGGCCACTGGGGAAAAGAAATGTGGGTAGTGTGGGTTACCCAAACCACAGCTCTCACCTCTGTCCCTCTTACCTGTTCCCTACCACCCACTCCTTGGGCGTTGGACCAGCATTTTGTCTCTCTAAAGCTCTACTTACAAAGTTTCAAAACCAGGAATTCTCTCCACATGCTACATTGGTGGTGTTTTGCTTTGTTTTAGTCTGCCTACCCTCCTAGGCTGAGCTGGGGTTTCCCCAAATACCATCACCTCATTCTCTATGTTCTTGTGACCTCCCAGGAGTCAGAGCAGGAGCTCCAGGTAGGCCTGGCAGTAGAGGACAGGATAGAGCACCTGGTTCTGACTGGGACTCCAGACAAGGGGAGATAGCAAGCTGCCCTTGCCCCTGGTCTGTCTTCTGCCTCCTTCTCCTAAGTGATGGATCAATATGTCTAACCCCAGGCCCGGATCCAAATAAATCCAAATGAGGTGAGTGCCTTTATGTGGCTGGGGCCAGATGTAGCAGCAGTTGTGGCCGCCACAGAAGATGGCACTGAGACACCCAGACTTCTCCAGACCTTACCACCTTCTCTCTGGTAAGAATTTTACTTTAGCTATCAGCATACAACAACATACATGCATATGCATACATGGGGAAGATTGCAGTTTGGAGTTGCATGTAGTTTGTGGAAGAGATTTAGAGAGAGCAAGTTGGTCTATTGATAATTAAAAGACCACCTGAGATCAAAGACTCCAAATGTTAAGGGTTCACCGTCCAGCTGACTAGCACTGAAGCCCTTGGTCTGAGCCCCTACTCTCCTATAGTGCACTCTCCTTGAGTGTTTCCTTTCTGCTGTGTGAGGCTAACACTCGCTTGCCTTATGTAATAGCTGGGAGGATTAAATGGCCCAACATACTAAAGTTCATGTAAGCTACAAGGCACAGCCTAGACAGAAACTGTCATACTCCAGTGCAACCGAACTGAAGGACGATGGAGGAACCCGACCTCTGGTCCTGCCCATGTCCACTCTCCTGCGGACAACCCCAGCCACAGCAGAGGACGGAGAGCGGGTCAGCGCTGGAACCAAGTTTGCTCTCAGGCTCTGGCTGCAACATCTGGGCAGCTGAAGGTAAGGAATGACGTGAGGGCCCCACAGCACTGGGTTGAGGCAGTCTAGTGATCTTACAGATACCGTACGTTTGCTGTGAATGCCTCTGCTCCCTCCAGGTTTTACATGGAGCCCGGACCAGCAGAGGAAGGACTGGGGTCTGCGAGCTGATGGCTCCAAAGACTTCTGCTGTAAAAACCTGAGACCTGAGTTCAATGCCTAGAATCTCTTTCAGATGGCAGGAGGGGTTCTACTCCAAAAAGCTGTCCCCTAATGTCCACATGCCATGCAAAGGCACATATGCCCAAATACACAGTAATAAAAATTTTTAAACGTTTTCTAAAAGTGAAAAGACGGAACATGGACCCTCTTCCCCACAAACCAGGGGTCTGGAAATCACAGAACATTCACAACCTTTATTGTAGGCAAGAACCCTGCTACACCTCTGGGAACAGAAAGTAAAATCACAACATAGGGCCTTGGCCCTACAAGGGCCTGAGTACTGGGAAGGAGAACACAGAGCCCCCAAATCCCACAAAAGGTGCAGAATGATCTAGGCCTGACCACAGGTCACTAGAAGCATAGGCCCTTGGTTGTTTAGCATAAGAAACATTGTGAACTTAAATATATAAATAGAGAGACCCAGGCAGTAGGCAGGCCAAGCCCTGCTCCCGAGGCCCTGGGCACCGCAACTAAGGCCTTGTTTCCTCCTCAAGTCAGACTGGGAAGCAAAAGGCAGGGAGTGTCATCTTTGGATAATTTTGGGTTTTCTTATTTATGTACAAAAAAGAAATCTGCAACCCAAAATAGAGTTCTCTGCCCATCTCTGAAGCTTCACGTCTCAGATCTGCCTGCCACCTGTGTGGCCAACGGGAACAGAATGGACATGAAAAGGACAGTTTGGTTTGGGAAGGGAAGGCGTCTTGGGGGCCAGCAAAGTGCCTTTTCCCCAAGAGGCTGTAGATCTGGTATAGGCTGAGGATCCCCCTCTTCCTTCTGCTCCTCTCTCTCCATCTGCCTCCCACTGCCTAGGTCACCATACCCAAAGGAATGTGCAACCGTCAAAATACTTCTAAAAACAGACCCCAACACCCTTTAAAACAGGTTAAATGTTAACCCTTTGAGTACCGGCCTTATTAGGCAGAGATAAGACCAATCAAAGACCCCTGAGGGATCAGGGTAGCCAGGGGTTGGGACTGAGCAGATTTGCTCAGTGCTGGGGGAGCAGTGAAGGTTTCGTAATCCAAGTAACTCAATCCAAGGAAATGACATCTGACCGACAGCCAGTCAAAGAGGGACCTGAAGGCAAGGGTCCACCATGCCCTTCCCTCAAGGAACTCCCAGGAGCCACAATGCTGCTGACACGGCCAGGAGGGGGCGCTGGAGTGGAGCTGCGGTGAGAGCTCCCCAGTGTGGGGGCCAGTGGGCCCAGGAAGTGGGAAGGGGTTCCCCGGTACTGGAAGAAGTGGCCGAGGGTGTCCTGTTCATCTAGCGAGGTGATGACAGAAGGACCGTAGTGCTGGGGATGAAGAGCACAGCTGTGGTTTCCCTTGCCTGCCACCTCCCGGTGCTCACCTGGGAACTGTTTTATGGGGACCAACCCTTATGATCTCAAGGCATTCTTGAGAAGAAAAGAGGGGGACCTCGCCAACTCTGCCCTACTTCCCCAGACCGTTCCCCGTGCCTTGCCATAGACAGTCCCTCCAGATACCTAGTGGGTGTCGCCAATGTGTGGAACACCCACTAGGAAAGGCTCTGCATACAGGCAGGGGTGAGTAGGCAGAAAGAGAACTGCATGGCGGGAGTCGGGAAGGCACAGATGTGAACATGAAGTGCCAGCTGGAACAGGGAGATAAGCTGCTACCCTCTCCTCCCACAGGAAAGCATTTTGAAATCCCTAGGGAAACCAGGCAGGGACAGACAATGCCATCAGTATCTAGGAAGGGCTCTTCTGAGGGCTGACTACTTACCTGACTCTCAGTCTGAAGGAAAGAAAATAAATCTAAACCTGGTGGAAAAGGAAAAATCACAATCAACCCCCTTCTAACTCCTTCACCACAAGAAAACATCCTCCTACCCCCAGGCTCTGCAAAGAAACAAGTCTAGAGAGTGTATAACAGGGCAGGACCCCACCCACCCACTTAGGATGCGTGTTATACCTTGGATGTCAGCCCCCAGTGGGAAGGCAGGTGGGTACTCATGTAGTGGAAGGCTGGACAGGAAATCACTGCCCAGGGTGCCCATTGCAGGGCTCCGTAGCACCGAAGATGGCTGATGACCAGATGTCAGGACTCTGAGGGGAGGGAAGGACCTGGAGAAGCCAGCCAAGCACAGACGCCCACGGTCCAGTCCCGTTCCATCCTCCCTTCCCTGTCCCGAGGCCTGCCTATGAGCAGACAGCAGTTCTGCCCTCCTGTCCCCTCTGCCTTTCCTCATACCCTTTGCCTCCGGGAAGGGCGGGGATGGCGGCTGAGGTGACAGGGCAGTGTTTCTTGGTTGGGGGCAGATCTTCCTCATCTGATGAGCTTTCCATTGTCAAGTCAATAACTTCAACCCTCTTCTTATTCTCTGATGGATTTCCCTCCTGGACTGGGCTATACTGGAGGCCTGGGGTGGTTAAGAAGACTGTGTCTCAGAAAAAGGGCCACCCATGATCTAGCTCAATTGGGGAGCAGGGGGTCACTCACCATCCAGCCCATACCCTGGCGGGGGGCAAACCTCAGATGCCTCCTTCTTAGGTTTCATTGGACACCAGGATCCATCTTCCATGAACTGGATCTCATCACAATCCGAACAGGAATTAAGAATTTCCATGAACAAACTAGGGGAGGAGGACATGGGAATTCACTGGGACACCAGTCAGTGCTCTGAGACTCACTTCCTGACTCACTAAGGTTAGCATCCTCATCTGCACTACGCGCCTTACTGGACCTCTCTGAGTCATTGCTGGAACAGCAATAAAGCACAGGCTGGGACTGTAGCTTCATAACAGAGACTCGCTTAGCATGCAGGCCCCAAGTTTGATCCCTAGCATTGTGGGGGCAAGTATGCAAACGAGCTTCACAGTTCAGACAGGGTTTCTCTGTGTAGCACTGGCTGTCCTTGAACTCAGAGATCCGCCTGCTTCTACCTCCCCAAGTGCTGGGATTAAACACATGTGCCACCAGGTCCAGCAAACGGCACAAATTTTAGGTGCAGGCTTAAACCTTCTCAAAAGACAATGTGAGAGCCCTAATGGAGGTTGTACAAGGAGAAAGACTACTTAATGAGATCTGGTGCCCTCTTCTGGCTCGCAGGCATACATGTAGACAGATGGCTGTATACTTAATAAATAAATAAACCTTTAAAAACAAAAACAAAAAAAAGAGAAAAGAAAGTGTCAGGGCATGCACTTAAAAAAGAAAAAAAAAACCTTATTATGCCAATCTAATAAATGCCATTTGTAACAGCAAAAATGAAAAGGAACGCGAGTTGCTAAGCACGGTGGGAAGTTCACGTAGTTGTTATCGGCAACATATCGGAACAATTCACTGTTGGCTCTGCCATTTGCTAATGAGACCTTCCAGGTCTCTCATCTGGAACGGCGGCACTCGTGCTGTGGGGCTGTTATGAGGACTGAGAAAACACTGAGCATGATGTCTTCCCTAAGCCCTTGATGTCACACACACATGGACGACTGAAGGAGATGAGGGTGAGAGCTGGGAGTCAGGAAGCCATAAAGGGGGGGGGGGGGCAGCAAAGCCCTACCCATCGATAATAAGGGATTCGTAGGGGGCCTTCTTATCGCACACAGGACATGTCCACGTTGGCTTCTTCTCATTCATCTGTAGATAAAGGGCAGCATCGAAGCTTTGCAGATGGGCACAGGTGAGGGCGCGGCATGGGACAGTCAGGCGCATCTTCCCTAGCTGATGAGAGCAGAGGTCAGTCGAGAAAACTTTGCTCTAGTATCCTTAGGAACCCTCTTCAGACTTTAGCCCAACCCTCCTCCCACTTCCTTTCGCTCCGTGTACCCACCGGGCACATGAGGGACACCCGGAGACTCGTAGTAGCCACCTCACTGTCAGGGTCAGCGGTCAATTTCTCCTTGACTGAAACAAGAGTGAGGCCAGAGCCATGGGGTCAGCGAGGCTGGAAGCAGCCTGGAAGCAGAGAGGCAGCTGAGCGTTGTCTTTGGGGGGCCTGTGGCACGGGACAGGAGCGGATCTATATCTAGAAGGTTGGGTATGGAGAAGAGATTTCTCCAAGATCTTTAACAACTGCAAGGTGAAATGTGGGTTATGTTTGGGATGATCTAGACGGAAGGGAAGCATCACGTGAGGATTAGGTTGAAAGAATTTTAGAGCTTTTCAGTACAGAGAACTGTATCTTAGTGGGGGTGGACCTGGGGTCTTGGAGATGCAGAAGTGTTGTCTGATTGGGAATGCAAAGCTATTTGCATTGCTTGAGGATCTAATTCCTCACCCGCAGAGACTGAGGAGAAGCACGGAGGAGAGAGACAGCTGGAGATCACGTAAGAGAGTTTGTGATAAAGCCTGGAGGGCAGCAGGAACCCCAGACCCCAAGGTGGGAGGAGGAAAAGGCTGGTACTCACTCAGTGCCCGGGAATGGTCTGGATTCCGGATGCCCTTCGCTCTGAGTTTTTGTAGAAGGGTCCCTGCGGTCAGCTGCCTCACCAGGTACACAGACAAGGAGTAATTCTACTTGGGGGACGGGGAGGGGGAATTAGCTGCTGCTTCCTGCTTCCCCCTTCCCCACATGCTCTGTCTCACGAAGACCAGAGACGGTGGCCTTAAGCAGAGAGGCCCATGAAGAGCAAGATGAATCCCCAACCTCAAACTAGATGGCTCCCCTGAAGCCTCTGCAGGCCTTCTGGTTATGCTCACCCGTCCAAACTCAGATGACCAATTAACCACAATGGTGTTGGGAACCGTGGCCGAGAGCCGAGCCAGGGATGTGATGTTGATTGGACGGCTGGGCCTCTTGGGCTCAGCTCCATTCTTGGTTGGGGGGAGGTAACCCTGAGGAAGGGAGGGACTTGTTAGAGACAGAGTGCTGGGAAGGGGTTCAACTCTCAGAAATCCTGTCTCAGATTACTCTGGAGGGAGGCCAGTTCGCTCAGGAGCAAAGGAGTTGGGATCCACTCTGCGGTGGCAACGAGGGCCCCACACAGGGCGGGATGAGAGGTTCACTTCCGGGGGAGGAGCTTATTCATTAACCAAGGAGCCAGGAACCCCAGTCACTGGGTCCCAGGGAGCTACAGGGACAGTCCTCATCTTCCAGTTTCGGCTGCTGTCTTAACATCTTAGAAGTCTTTTCTAAACTTTTATGTTAAAC